ATCTGTCACAGAGATCCTTGATAACCACGGAGCACTACTAGACGGCTGTTTCGGCCTATTTTGGCCACGACACCACCTAGGATGATAGGACCTGTGACTTTCAGGTTATGCGACCAGGCTCGTTAATAGTTTAATTCTCTTATATATGAAGTCAAATTAACCTTTTTTTAGTGTTCTGTTTGATGTAAGTTTTCTAAATTACTTTTTTTTCTGTTATTTTGCGTTCTGAGCAGAACGTAGGGCTTCAAACATAAGCTTGAAGGTTTCAGTAATAGTGGTGCTATATTTTTTACAGGATGGAATGGCTCGCCTCACGCCGAGCTCTTCTTCTCTACCATGCTTACTTCACTACCGACTGAGCGAGGTTTTTAGTAGTGAGTCGGTCGGGAATCGCACTGAAGACCATATACATGACCGGCTATTATTCTACCATTGAACCATTGATGCTCGACGTAATATGTTTATTTATGTTTTATTTATTAATGTAAAAATAGGAAGCATCAGTTGGTTTTTATCCTTTTGAATAAACAATGGGTCTGACTTATAACCTCTGTCAGGTGTGTATAATCTGTGTATTTTTCTTCCTTTATCCATAAAAACATTATCAGTTGACTACAGTATATACATAAATGGATGTAAAACATGCTTTCAGAGGGAAAATGATTGAAAATGTCCAGAATTACTAAGGTAATAAAATGTTAATGAATGTATGTTGTTGTATGTTGGACTTTAAACGATTTTGGTCAGAAACATAAAGAATCTTCAACTATTGATTCCTTTATTTATTTTATTATAACCATTATTATTATTACTATTATTCCCTTGTGTTTTGAGTGAAAAACGTAAGGCTTCAGCAGCACATAGCCGTCTCATTCTGAACTCTTTTATCTAACTCCACAATCGTCCATAAACTCTCATCTCCTCGTGACATGATCTCCCCCCCCCATGTGTCACACTTTGACGCCTAGCACATAGCTTCCCAATCTCACTTGACAGTCTACTTGGTGTGTATCCAATCCATCTTCATTTCTTTCGGTATATTCATTGTGCAGTAGGTTCTTGATGTTGATTCGTTGCCGGAAACTTCTCTGAACCACAGCAAAAATGTCTGTCAGAACTCCTTAATTCTTTTACAGCATTCATTAACTGATCTGATACTATGAGGAAGGTCATTTGTAAAACTCCTTTATCCGAAGTAATGTGAAACAATATGCATCCAATCTCCAAGACTGATCCCATTTTTTCAAAGAAATTCTACTTGAAAAGTCGATGAGTATTACTTATGTTGAACCCACAAACAATCTATCTATGTTTCTAACGATGTTGACTACTGATTTGTCATAGATAACGCTATATTCTTCATTGCATATCATCCAGTACCATGTTAACTGGTTGTAAGTGTCAATTATCTCCAGGATTTTTTAGTTATTTGTTCATTAGATTCGATGGTGCCGTGAACTGCACTTCAAGTGGAAGACAGACGACATGTGATAACCACTCAATTACTAGACGTCTGCATTATATGTATATATATGTATATCAGTGTTGCAGCCAATTAACATCTTAGATAAAATACTTGATTGCTTTCTAACTATTTATCTGTCGCTTTGATGGGATAAATCCAAAAAAGTTCCTTTCTCTTTCTTTAGACAAATTATATTTGTTCTTTCTAACTTTAATTCTTGAAATACGTATTGATGCAATCACTTCCCTTGATGAATTTTGAATGACATATAATATTTATGTTAGCGTATCTTGTGCCTGCCTATATGTGTAAATCCCTTGGATATTATCACCATGTCTTATAATAAATTTTATCTACTTTTAACCTTTGTTAATTCAGTGCACTGTTTTAAAACGTCTATATTCCTTTTGTTGCGCCTCTGTAAACGGAATATAAACATTTTAAAACATCGGATTTCCAACACTAATATCAACTATTCTGTATAGGTCGGAAACGTGATATGCACGTCACGAAAATCATTAACGAGAGGTCACTGCAGACTTGTGTCAACAGTTGTCTTCGATGACTCCATACTGAAGATAAAGTAACCGACTAGAAAGGATTAACAACAGGGAAGTCTGAAAATGAATCAATCAAAAACCTGCTGCCTAACAAATATGCAGAAGAAAACGAAGATGGATAGGACACACGTTGAAGAGATCGTCGGGTGAGATTTCACGCCAGGCTATTGTTTGAGTGAAACCTGAATGAGAAATGACGAGTTGAGCGTGTGTCCGAAGGTGACATCGAGAAGATCGTGTGAATAAGAAATGAGAGTGTATGGGCAGTGATAGGGACAGCTAAAGAGGACTGTAGATAGTAGGACAAAATGGCTATGTGCTGTTGAAGCCATATGTTCCACTCAGAACCCAAGGGAATAATAATAATACTAATAATACTCCCTTAGTATTTATCGTATTTAAATGAGAGACACAATAAAATCCGTTTGTTTAGTCTGATTACAAGCTCTTATTATCCACTGAATATTTCAACATTCAAATGTACTTTCTGATACTTCTTTGTTTATTTTTATTGAACTTACTTGACATGTTCTTTTTTAAAAGATTTAATGCGGCTTTCAGTACCTCGTATATGGCATAATGATTTGAATGTCCATGGGAATGTATTACCTCACTATGATGTCTGATCAAAATGTAAGTGAGGAATTTCAAGGGACATAAACAATTCACATGAACGGACACTGTCTCTAAAGACGAATCATAATACAATTCTGTTTTCCCTATTTATTCATTGAATTTTCGCTAGTGATTTCATTGGCTTCTTTAGTTAGCTAGTTACTAATAAAATTTATTAAAACACAATGTCGGTACATTATAGACACCAAGAAATGCGCCAGGTCGTTTATGGGGTGTTATGTACTTATATATCCAATGTATTAGTATGATAAAGTAATCCGTGAAGTCAGATGACTGGATTATCGTTATTTCGAAATAGCCAAAGGAATTATTAAACTTTCAATAATTCAAGAGTTTAAGTAGTGTTTCTTGTTTTTATCTCCGTGATCTAATGATACAACTAAATTACTAATTGTTTAATTATATTATTTGATTAATTCACCTATTTTGGGTCATCTTTCATTAACATCCTAAGAAAGAATAGTCGAGTTATTGTAAGACTTTCAAATTATTCATTTTTTGTGCCATTGTGTTGTTGGATAGCCTATCAGTTGTGTTACAAAACAGTTGTCTTTCGACTACTGGAATTGTTTATTCTGCACTCACATGATACCTGGACATAACACCGCAATTCGTTAAACACATGCAAAATGAAATGCTGAATTTGTTCATCTTATAGGATGAAGCGTCGATGGATATGATTGCAGTGTATTCTTCTCTTTAACCAAACTATGTTTTCCATGCCATTGGTTTATTTTTTTCAATCATACTATTATTTGTGTCACTGTTTCATTTTAATATGATCATTATTGTAAAGTAATTTGGGATTTTGATAATTCCTGAGATCCTGTGGAATCTTTTGTTAATAGTCGTTTCCATACCGCATATAACTACAAGTGCTGAACACAGTTGTTTTTCAACACATAACAAACAAGCATCTCTGTCTGTAATTGTTAAGCTGAGGTGCCTTTTTGATCGATTTCAGACGCCATAATCAAACTTCTAGCTATCCCATATACTCACAGGACTAAAGTTATGTGTGTTTGTGTGTTCGGGTTTTTGATTGATCAAAATTTAAAAGGATTTAGCAGTAGATTCTTGTTCTCTTCATCTCAAGAAAGGGAAGTATTTGACTGCCTTACTTAGGAGCGGTGTTGTTTTTTTTTTCCTATGCGACTTCCCTTATCCTGACGAAGACAATTTTGTTAAGCATACCGGTGATCTGACTGTTTGCATGCCAGTCACATCTCAATCAGTCTGTTCCAAAATAAATAGCTTTTCATCAGAAATTACTCAGTGGTTCTTGTCAACTGGTATTAAGCGAAATCCTTCCAAATTTCAGATTGATAATTTCACTTAGTGATACAAACGTGATTTATATGAGGTGTCTCGTTCCCATGATTCTACTGTCAAATATGCCACTGAAGTTGAATGAACCAAAGTGTTTTCTCTGATCTTTCTTAGTCTTCTCACATCGTGTTTATTTCTAGGAAGATATTTCGTTTAATCTTCTACGTGAGGAAGTTAAGACAATCTGGTATCACTCAGTCTCTACTTTAACAGTTTGTTAATTCTCGTATTTTATCTATTCTTCTTCATTGATTCCCCCTTCATCTTACCTGGGATACTTAAAAATGACTTTGTCACACTACGAAGGGCACTAAATACTGTCGGTAGACCGAGTGAAATACCGCTCAACCAACTTGTCAATACTGTTGCAGATAGACACTTAAACTCATGCAAGGAATTAGCGAATAGTATCTTGTTGGATTCTAAGCATCCTCTTTACACACAACTTAATACTCTTACGACTAAGTATAAAAACTCACATCACGCATTCCTATGTGATGAGAAAATTGTTGGGTATGAAACTACTGAATTACTGTCAAACACTAGGTAAACGCCTTTTTTATTATTTCTATCATCATTATATTGTTGTCACTATTTTCTGGACTTTTATTTTACATTCATGTTCTTATTGACGTTAATATCAATATGTAAATGGCCTGTTAATTATTTCCCCCACTGTTCTATGCAATGTAAAGAGAAAATTAGATGCATTACAATATCCCATGGTGGAAATTACGCTGTGTCAAAAGTAATGTTTGTGCGTTGGCGGTACAACAATTATGACTTTCGCCGACCTTGCACATGGTCCAGGGTTTGATCCCCTGCCGACGCATACGTGTTATCTATGGTCGGCTTGAGAAATTTGGGCTACCGATATCACATACTAAAAATTCCATACCTGTACCAAAAATACGGTGTGGAATCAAGCTATAATCTAAAAAAATTATGATACAGTAACAACATTTCATACCTTATTTTCTTTTTTTCCTTTTGTTTTTTTATTTTTACAGTTGCATTCAGGATTCAGTGATTTTGCTTATTCACAAAAAGATTATCCTCTATTTGGAATCAAAGGCAGATGTGTTGTGTAGGAAGGCATACCGAACATATTTATAATCTCTATCTAAACAGGAGACAGTATAATGATGTCAGACAACAGTGACGAGTAGAGTACACCTACAATACTTTTGAACAACTTGTGAAAGCATTTTTTCCATTATTTTAGAAATGTTGAAGTAATAGCTGTACATCTCAACTTTACTCATTACTCACATTTTTATTTTGTTTTGATTATAGCTTGAGACCACACAGTACTTTTGGTACAAGTGTGGAATTTTCAGCATGTGGTATCGGTAGCCCAAATTTCGCAGGTCGACAACTGATATCAGGTTCGCGTCGGCAGGGGATCGAATCTCGGACCATGTGCATGGTCGGCGACAGTCCTAACCTCTGTTCCACCGACACACATAGTGACTTAGGCAATGCAGGTATTTTAATGAAAAATGATTCCTTGAAAATATCAGTGAGAGGATGACATCAAGTACCCACACATTTTCTGAGGCTATTAGCTGGCACACCATTTGGACCCCAGGGATTGAATGGATTTCATTGACCGGAGACATTTGAGAACCTTATTTATATAAAAAACAGCAGATCGATCATTCGTTACACTTTCAGTATTAGAGATCATAACACCTACTGGATGATATATGCAGGACTCATTAAGCCTACCAGAATCGCATCTTCAGCTGAAAGTGGAAGGAGTTTCAGCTTCTTCTGTGCTGCATACTAGAAAGTATCATTTCACTGTAATTTGTTGATTTGTTATTTACCGGGTGAAGATTCCTAGCCAGTAGTGACAGAAAACAACAGACAACAATCAGCATAAATGGGATAAATCTGAAAGAAGCAACCTCCTTTTCCTACCTGAGAAGCATCGTCTCAACTACAGGCGGAACTGACGAGGATATCAAGCCGAGGATTGGGAAAGCAGAGCAAGCTTTCACTACTCTCAAGTCTGTGTGGAGGTCAACAGCACTCTGCATAAAAAACAAGATGCGGATTTTCAACTCCAGTGTAAAGTCAGTGCTACTATACAGATGAGAGACTTGGTGCCGCGCCACGAAAGGCACTTCGAACAAACTACAGACCTCTTTCAACAGCTTTCTTCCCTCAACACTCAAGATCAGATATCCAGAAAAGATCAGCAACAGGGAGGGATATCTGGGAGCCAACCAACCCAGAAGAAACTAATTGTGCAACAAATATGCAGGAAGAAATGTAGGTGGATTGTCCATCCTCTGAGAAAACAAACCGTCAAGTGACATCGCACACCAGGCCATTGCTCGAGTGGAACTCGAACGGGAAGCGGCGAGTTGGTCGTCAGTGCGAGGGTGACACGGAGGAGGTGATGTGAAGAGGAGATGAAACCATGTGGGCAAATAGGGAGCGAAGTGGAAATGTTGGCGGAGAACCGAACACAATGTAGACGTGCAGCTGAAGTCCTATGTTCCTCTAGGAACTAAAGGAAACAATGATATGATAATATTTACCGGATAATATTCTAAGCGTAGCTTGTTATTGATAACTACATCATTTTCAAACGTTTTTAACTTATCTGTCACCATACAGCATAATTCTGTTTTCTGTGTGTGTGTGTGTACTCCGTGTCATAGAATAGAAGAAGTGCGGTGAGAGCTCGCTGCAAGCCAAATTGTAGAAAGCAATTTACGTCAATGTTCCGTCCCGGGGGCATGTGAAAAAAATAACAAAGCTTAACCTTGAGGATCTCACCAACCAATCACAACAGATTTAACGTGTGCAAATAGGAATCGCAAACATATGGCTTAACTTTCAGAGAAACGGTCACAAGCAGTACAGAATAACATTCAGCAAGAAAACAAATAATCAGAATACGTTGCTTCTCCACTGACAATAATGTTCATAAAAATCCATAAAAATCTCTTGATTTTCTCAATAAACGATCTGTTGCTTGGCCCTTGTCTTCTGTGGTTACAGAAGTATTCAAATAAATTGTTATTTTCGTTGTTTAAGAATCAATACAATAATGAAATAATTATACATCCTTCAAATTAAACAACATATGAATATCTTAAAGTAATTCACACATTCAGGATTCAATTAGTGTTTACTTTTAATGATTAAAGTAGGAATTTGTTCTTTCACGCATACACCGTAGAGTGTTTCCTGAGCTCACTTGTTATTGATGAAATATTTTTTAAACTACATTTACAAGTGGCATTTAGAGGAAGGAGAACATTTGCTGAGTATAGGCTACTGATATTATCTTATGATTGAGATATTTGCAATTAGAGATTCTTCTCCCATTCCTTTGTGGTTTTCGTTTCAATAAATTCTAGTGTAGATTTCACCACCATCAGATATCACAGTCTGAGAGTGATTGAAGACCGCGGGGCACTGAACAGTGAGCTGTTTCCTCGTAGTCTGAGACTTTTCGTCAGTGCACACCTACGACCTGATCAGGTTTGGAGCCCGGCACATTTATGTTACAAGGCCGAATTCGTTTATCATTCAGCCACTTGAGTTTGAATTCAATGAACCATGAATTCTGACTTCTGTCAGTTCTTGATAAATATTGATCCGAATCCCCAGAATAATCCATAATCTGTGTACTAGTTTTCAGCTTGTTGGTAACTGATTGATGGATGAATGTTCTGAAGCTGTACTGAGGAGGTAGGGATCATTGGGTTCCACCAAGTCGGAGTGAAGTGAATGCTCATCGTAGTCATTGGTTGGTTGCAGCGCTATATCACGAATTGACTGAAGTTAGAATACACGGGATGCGTTGTTGATTCAGAAGTAGAATTCTCACCAACTATGCACGTGGTCCGGTGTTCGATTCTCTGCTGGCGCCTACCTTTACCTCTCTTAGTCGGTTGTAAGCCTAGTGAAGAGGCAAGGTTGTGCGTGAGACTACCAACCCTAATCCGTCGAATGTAGCAATTCTACTGAAACTTCAATGCTCAAGCTTGCAGTCCTATATTCACTGGGAAATGTAAATGAATGAAATTGAAAACAAGAATTCCTAGTCATTGAATTCAAGCTCAAATGGTTGAGTAATCAGCGTTTCAACTAGAAGACTCCAAATTAGATTTTTGGTAGGGTCGTGGATGTGCACTGACGAAGAGTCCTGAGATAGGAAGAAGTTGCTATCCAGTTCTCTCACTCTAGTTTTCATGGATCCTCTTGCTGATTTTCGTTTGCAATTGAATCACCCTTAATCTAGGTTTCAAGCTATTGTCTAACTGTTAGATTATTTGTGGTAACATTTCACACAAAGATTTTTGAACCTGTACATCATGCTTGTTGACTGTCATCAGATAGTGTTGTGCAGACAAGTTATGTGGGAGAATACTCCATATCACTCATACTATCAGCAGTTCAATCTCCTTGATGACTGTAAGTAAGTGGCAAACATGTTCGTGTGCTACTTCAGCTCACTCCAGGCTATACCAGTTAGCAGTAATAGAGATTTTGGCTTGAATGGATGAATAGCTAAACACTTTACAGTTGTGTTCATTTGGTATAAGTGTGAGTGTTTTTCGCTAAAGCTTACATGAAAAGTGTGTGGAGCTTTGCTTCTTCTATCTCTTCCTTTCCCCACAACTCTTCCGTTAAATAGTTTACATATGTGTTTCTTTAGGATTTGTTCAGTTTTCCGGCTCGTGTAAGCGTATACATGCACACACACATTCACACAACTCTTAGATTGTTACTTCGATAAGTGTCTTTTGGATTATTTTACCCAGATTAAAGTGTATCACTTTAATGGGTATGTTTGATGCTGAATACTTATACGAAGCATAAATTAAACTTATTTTGAAGATTTAATTTGTATGGATTTGATTTGTTTGAAGTTTGATTACGAATTTGTAGAAGTTGGAATTCATGGACGATTGGATGAGGTTCCTGTGGCTGGACAATCTACGAGCTTGACCTGTGACCGGAATGTCTTGCTTACGAACTCCGGTGTGTACGTGCTGCCGAAAAAACAATATTCGAGTACTTTTTGGTGCTTACCAATGGTCCTCAAACCGCTATCAGTACGTGATCAAATCCTAAACACTTCACAACCCTAAAATCTAACTTTTGAAGATTCAATATTAGTCAGGTGTTAGTAAATAGGCGGACATGAAATTAGAACTTATGCTTAATGAAGTAAATCTATAGTCTCTAGATATTTTACTTCCTCTCTGAATGTTGAAGTCAGACACTGTAAGTTTAAACTACAGTGAACTAAGTGAATGGACTTGTTACTCACTTCGATCAACCAATAAAAATAGCCCGCAGTAAATACGCGGGATCAAGGATGCATTACACGAATTACGTTGCAGATTTCATCTAGATATACTATTTTTGTGCTGTTTGGATAATATTCCTACTGGAAGGGATAAAGATGGAGATGTGGAAGAGTAATATATTTGCAGAGATATTTAGGTGCTTTTAATGAGTATGTGTATACATGTCCTTGCTGTCGTAGCAGAAAATCTTTTCGAAAAGGTATGTCTTTCTTTTTTTTGTTTTATGGATGCTTTAGGTACCTACTTCGCCAAAATGAAGTTGCCTTAAGCGAGAATTCTCATAATATGGCACAATTGGGTCTTGGAAAGATCAACAACAGTGTTCGAGACAGAAAATTCATAGTTGTCTGTAGTGTAGTGGTAACAGCGCTGCACATTTGGACCTTCTTGGAAAATAAACAACATGACTCAGATAACTGGTGGCGTTGGTCTCATTATTCATGTTTACGAAATGATGCTTATAAAAAGGAAATATAATCGTGCTAATCAGGAATGAGTTTGGGAATTGTATGAAACAACACTGTGGAAAGGTTACATGTAGACGATACCTGATGGTAGAGCTAATGTTTTATTACCCATCATCCAACGTTCAGTACTATCAGGTACAACTATATACACGCAGACCAGTGGAGTAGTTACAGCTAACTGTCACTTCTCGGTTATATTCACAATATGGTCAATCCTACAGATGATTTTCTTAATCCTTTCGGTGGTACCCACACAAATCCTATTGAAGGCTTTTACAGTTA